CCGTGTCTTTGTGGAGAATCCATGTTGGCGTGTAGTGAGGAGCGTTTAATATTTGCCGCAGGAATTTGTTTTGTGCTCGTTGTATTATGTTTAAATTCTCACTATTTAGTGGAATATTACAGTTGATGTTGTTTTCGATGTATTCTTGGAAAAGATGCCAATCGGTAAATTTGTTTGTAAGCGAACTCATAACTTTGGTTGGAGTGTATTTGGAGTATTTAAAAATTACTGGTGATTGATCAGAATTGAAATCTAAGCTTGAATTTATTTCAACACCTCGTTTTTAATATTTTTGGTTACGACAAAGTCGAGGAGGTCTGGAATTTTGTTCAAATATATTCTAGGTCCTCAAAATGTGTGCTTTGCGTTATAATTACCTCCCGCAATGAACAAATTACCAAGGCTGGCAAAAAGTTGTAAACTGATTTTCAGTAATTATGTGCCTTGGCGGACAATATAGATTGCCGATACTGTAATTTTGTGAGTCATAAGATCAATTGAATACTTTATATGTTTTCTTTACAGAAATATCACTAGATCACTAGGACCACTAGATGGACCACCCGTTATATAGTCAGTAAAGAAGGTTCTGTCTCGTAGCTCTATTTTCATATATAAGATTATAAGAAGATTCTATTACAAAGTTTGACAAGATCTAAATGTAAACACATTATTCTTATAACAACTTTATTTCATAAGATAACATACATTTTTCTATTTATTGTGATTGCAAAATTAAGAAAACGATAAGAAATTCATTATGTTATACAATAAAAGATCAAGTAAAATACAATTGAAATCCAAACTAGTTGTTATTGGTATTTTGCCTTGAGGCAAGTTACATGAGCTTCCCGACATGTGTAAATAATGGACTTAATCAATAAAAAATAAATTAATTTATGAGGGATTAAAAGTACCCACACAGCACATGGATGACATAGGGTCAACCTATGGTCGTCACAATGGGCTGTAGGGTTAACCTATGGTCAACCCACTGGTACCATATATGAACATAGGTAAACCCATGACGACACGTATGTCAGAGCCCTGGTTTGACCCAATTGGGTTCAATACGGGTATGTTATGGGGATGGAATGGTATCGCAATGGGTCAAAATGGCGGTATATAGTGTAACAATTGCTGCATACTTTCCGTGCTTATTTGTATTAAATATAAATAATCCATATAGTTATAAATATTGAATGAGCTAAAACTGTAACTCCATAAATAATATATTTATTAAAAAGAATTTTATTTATATTACTAGAAAATAACAAAATTAAACTAACTTAACTAAATTTTTGGTGATTATTATCCTAAAACTTATTATTTTATTATCTATATATAGTATTATTAATATTTATAGAATTTAAACTAATTATTCGCATTGGGTTCACCCAACTTTCACTTCTAAAGCACTGAAAACAACAAATTTTGAATTATTATAGGTTTACAGGTTTATTTTATGTAATAAAAAATGTTAGTTGACATTTTGGAAATATGTGAAATATATTTCAACTTACGGAAAATTGCGAATAAATCTGTCATGAGCATGACAGTATATTATATGTATGTACATTTTGGAAATATGTGGAATATATTTCAACTTATGGAGAATTGCAAATAAATCTGTCATGGGCATGACAGTATATGTATATTTAGCAGTATATGTAATTGATTTGTCCATTTTTATCCATTGGGTAACATCATATTTTAATATCTCTGCTACTGTCACATGTGTCAATAGGTGCTCATCTTGCAGTTCTGCTTCTGTCCGAACAGGAAATTCATTATATACTGCCAGTGTATAATGTAAACGTACCATATTACGGGATGTTAAAGAACGTTTGACTTTAAAGGCAAATTTTAGAAAAAATAGGAAAGTGGACGAACTAAATCTGTTATATTTTATTAATTAGACCTTGAAGATTATTATAAAACAAGATTTTTTGTCGTAGAACGTCATTTATAGAAATAATCGGCATTTTGCTGAACCACGCGTTTGTCCCTAATTCCTAAGATAAAAATCGGCTCGTGAAGATAATGCCGGGAGTCGTTGTACGTTATTCCGTGATAGCGCTCGAAGCATACATTTTTGATCGTATTCCCTTGATCAATATAGTTGTAGGGTTATAAAAAGTACGGTTAATTAAAAAATAATACTTTGATATGATTTTAAACATTTATTTAGTTTTATAAAAGTCATAAAATTATAAGAAGTTGAAAAACTTCTAAAATAAAAATAAAATAAAAGCTGGTATTATTATAGTAATAGAATATAATAATCATTTTGGTAAATCAAATGAATCGAACAATAAAGGAATAATTTTTAATGGCAATTAAACAAAAATATAAACTTAAAATAAATATAAAATTTAAACTCAAAATAAAAAAAATTAAACTTGAAATAAAAGTTACAATTCTGCCAACAAACGTAAATCTTTAAAGACTTTAAAATAATCTTTAAAGACTTTCAAGTTAACAATAACTACTAGCTTAAATTAGGTTTGTTTGGGAATTTTGTATGTTTTAAAAGCTTTAAAATACATTTAATATAATATGGCAAATTTCTTTTAAAGCCTTTTTCAGGGTTTTGGGTGAATATTTAATTGGAGCCATCGTTCTTTGAAAAAGTGAAAGACCGATTTAAAATCATACCCAAATAAATTTACCGATATTGAATATAATTTTAATAATATTTAATAAACTGTATTAGACTATTAAAAAGTTACTGCATTGAAGAGTAGCCTCGGCAACTTATTTTCGAGTAATTGCAATTCATATCAATTTAATAACTTGCGATGTATGTTCGTTTTAATAATATGCAGGTTATATAATGGCTATATTCCAAAAGCTTAATCGGATTAAAACTATCGTGTTTATAGGAATATCCCTAGATCTCTGCATACATACATACATACCATCGCCCTAGTGAATCCGCGCCCTATAAGTACCGTGCGCTATACGGGGTATACCTGTATTTTTATTCAATTTATATAATAAAAATAATTGATCATAGATGAAAAGGTAGAAATAAATGATTCTCTCATTACTACAATATTCTAGGTATATTGGAACAATGCAAATAAGTGAAAAAAATCGTGTACTTTCTTACGAAAAAGTAGTCATTTCAAACTCAATTATTAGGGTTAAAAATTAAAAAAAACATATACCGTAATTACGTTACAGTTTTCTGTAGTCAATTAATCAAACAAAATTAATAACACCAGAAAGACCGCCGAATTTAAGAACAGTTGAAAATAAAAGATAAAACTATTTCAAGTCTACTTCTCGTAATTGCGGGATACTCACGGAATTACGTTCATTGGTTCAGTTGTGTGAACCTAATTGCGGGAGTCATAAAATTGACAATTTCTTGACAAATATATGCTCGATTTAACTATAAAACTAATCTCTTATTATTACTGATCAAAAATTTCACAAATTTGAATCGATTAAGCTTTCGGAATCGAATAAAAACCTTAAGTAATGGAACCGTCACATAACCTAACTCGCTAACAAGCTAGTACGAAATGGCGTTCGGGTTACGACCGATGCTTTCACAAGCTTTTTACGGCTATAAAAACTAATATTCAAATTCGAAAATCGTACTGTTTTATTAGGATTCAAATTATAATTGATGTGCTATTGAATAAAATTATTATTTATTGACCGTTTTCTTATTTTGCAATCAAAATGAAAAACTCCCGTAATAATGCACTATCCCGGAATAGTGTACGTTTACCTTGATCAGGCAAATCATCCTTCATATCACACTGGCATCACTGCTTATTAAGCCTATTCATTAAAACTTGGTGATGTAATGAATCAGCCTCTTTATGAATATTGAATGTGAAATCTGAACAATATACAACCTTATACTGAGGATTACCACAATATTCTATCAAAGGTCCTTCGTAAACTTCTCACAAGCATGGCTACAGACCTTAAAAGTTTTCCTAAAAAATGCTCTTTTACCTCAAAGTATCTTTTATAACTTTGCTGCAATGGTTTCTCTGACTTCCGTAGATATTCCAAGTGGATTTATTACACATAATCGAAAACGAACAAATAGCAAATTTTCACAATTCAATAATTTTTATAATTGAACCAGTTTCCATATGGATTTAATGGTTTAGTATGTTCATTAAGACCAAGTACTCTATCATTAATATATCGTCTAATTTTAATTTTAATAAACCTCAAAAAACTACTAATTTTCTCAAACCTTGATGAATTTTTAAAATTAAACTACTTGTCATAATCATATCATCGAGAGCGAGTGACCCTCATTTGACCTTGCATTGTAAAAATTTCCGTTGCATCTGTACGGATTTACACCCATGTCGCGCCTAAAGAAGTTCTACTTCAAAAAATTTAAATGGCAACGGTTTGGAAAAAGGATCAATTTGTTACCACATTTTGAGTTTCTTGATTTTTTTAAAAATAGTAATAGTTCGGAGATGAGGCTAGAATGTGCCTGAGAGATGTCTATAAAGAAGATTTTCCAAACATGTCAAGTAAATCGGTTCAGTAGAATTCAAGAAATCGTAGGCATCGTATTACAAAAGACAATTTTGAGAAACACGCGTTTAAAGGTTTGCAAGCGGGAAGAAACTTTAAATAGCTGAACTTTGAAAATATGAATGAAAAAGAAAAAACTATGTTTTTGAGTTGTTACACTAGAATACCCTCTGAAATACAGAAATTATTAATAATAAAATACTACAAAAGTTGTCTCTATGTAATATATTTCATTCTTTTTTTAATTTGCTTACATTATAAACTTAAGCAGGTACTGTAGTTTTTTATTAAACTACTTATTAAAGCTAGATAATATTAAATTATTACACATGTTCTAACATATTTGTGAATAGTGTTTAAAAAATGTTACAAATATTTCAGTATGTTTTCTTTATTTTTATTTTGCTATAAACAGCCACTGTATTTATTATTTAATAGTTCAAACAATAAAATTAATTTTATTCAAATTTAACGATAAATCAATGTAAAATTTTCATCACTTATCGATGTTAGTTAGTAAGTTATATATTTTCATAATTACATCAAATATTTTTTTTTCTCATTGCACTACATTATTAAAACAGAAAGTACAAAATTTTCAGATAGTAATATCCATCGTTTTTTTTTTAAATTAAATTAAAATCTCTCTCCTATTCCTATTTCATCTCCTTTAGAATGCCTTCTGGAATTTTCCATAATACTAAAGCGTTATCCTTCGAACCAGCCATAATCTTAAAAATAAATAAATAATCAATAATATAAAATGAATAATATGTACATAACATTATACACACACACATCTATATCTATATATATATATATGTATATATATATATATATATATATATATATATATATATATATATATATATGATGATAGTTTGTCAAACAGTGCCGACAATGCAATGCTACCGTTACCGGCAATATGTGCTCCTCCTATTTCTCGTTTGTTAATATAATAGTATTTTACACAAATTTAGTGTTCAATCAATTTTACATCATAATTAATGTTTCCTGTTTTTCGTGGTTTGATTACTGAATGATGACACACATCAAGTATCGAAACGTTTAATGGAATAAATAATTTTATTATTTAATCTTTTTTTAATTCGACGGTTGGGCTGCAAAAATATAACATATATATATATATATATATATATATATATATATATATAAATATATGAGATAAATATGCGAAACAAAACTACATATATGAATATTTATATTTATGTATATTTTGAGAAACATATTTTAGTTTTCTTTCTATTATATAATCAGAATGGATGCCAGTTTAGAACCGTATAATCACACAGATTCGCACTTTCCCTTCAACTAACTGAAATGGAATTACACGTATATATATATATATATATATATATATATATATATATATATATATATATATATATATATATTGATTGTTTCTTTTCCGAACAGTAAATCCAATAATAGAAAAAAATTTGTTTTTTGAAGATGTTTAATACGACGTTTCGGAACTAGGTACGTTCCATCATCAGGTTTATTCTGTCAAATACAATGTTTTTTAAAATATTGATTAACATTAATTAACGATGGTCAATACAGATTAATTAGAAAAAAATTTTTTATAAAGGAATGGATTATGTACCGGGGTAAAGAGTAATAAGACTTAACTAAAAAAGGTTTTATATAAAATTGAGAAGCAAAAATTATTTAACTGTAATAATTTATATATCCATATCACTAATATTTTTTTGTTAAAAACACTCGATTTTTTTGGAAGATATTTGTAGATGTTACGACTACACAAGACTTAAACACACTGATATGGATTTCTGTCTGCCAGATGTAAAGGACAATGCACGGAATTCTTGGCAAAAATGATTTTTTATGGCTCTTGTTTGGTAATTTACGAAAAAAGAGGAAATATTGCTTTAGTAAATGTTGAGAAATATTATGTATATATATATACATGCACATGTATATGCACACCTACATACTCATACATACATATGCACATATCTATAAATTAATGTATCCACAATTATATACATGAACATATATGCAAGTGTATGTGTATAGTGTACACACAAAAACATACATATAAGCACATATATGGATGTACATATATTATAACATATATACATGTATATATATACATATTCAAAAATTATTAGGATTAATTATTTTTAATCAGGTTTAAAAAATTTAAATATGAGTCATGAATGATATTGTGATCTGATCTTTTATTAACACTATTTGACGAATTCAAAAAGATTAAACTGCTTTCAGAAAAAAGTCTTTTAAAAGTACAATCCTCTCTATATAAAATATTGGGTTCAAAGGTGAAATTATGTGAGTTTTCGATGGAATGCTGGACAAGAGTACTTTGGAAATTTCGGCTTTTATGATGAGTGACGCTTAATTCGTGTTGTCTCATTCTCTTATGAATGTACTGTGATGTTTGGCCAATGGATTGTTTTTGACAATTTTTGCAAGGGATGGAATAAACTATGTTAGTATTGAATTTAGGAGGGGTGGTGGATTTAATTTTTGAAAACATTTCTTTAAAAGAATATAGAGCTGTTCCTGAAATGAAAATATTTTCTTCTTTGAGTAATTTGGCAAAATAATCAAATAAGCCTTCAATGTAAGGCATGCTGTGAAAAGTTGGTTTAATATTGTTGTCTTGGAATAACTTGGAGATGGATTGACAATTGTTACTTTTATGATAGGAAAGTCTTTTATTGGTAATGGAATTGATGAGGGTGAGGGGATATCCGTTTTCTAATAAAGTTTTAGTTACTAATGTTGTGTTTTGGGAATGAAAAGAAGAGTGAGACAACATGATTGCGTGGTCTATCAAAGAAATGATTGTATTGACTTTATAATTTTTGGGACAATATGACGCGTAATGAAGGTATCTCCCTGACCATGTAGTTTTTCTGTACCAATTTGTGCAAATAATGTTGTCAATTTTGTGTACAGTCACGTCTAAAAAGTTTAATTTGTTGTCGATTTGTGTTTCATGTGTGAACTGAATGCTCTTATTGTAATTGTTAAAGGTATCGATTATCATATCTGATTGTTCTTTGTCTATTATAAAAAAAGTGTCATCTACATATCTAACATAAAAATTTATTTGGAAATTTAATGTGGAGAAAACGGCAATTTCAAGGGTTTGTAAAACTAGGTCTATAATGCCAGGGGATAATGGGCAACCCATAGCAGTACCTTTGATTTGTAGATAAAAATTATTGAAACAATTAAAATAAGAGCAATTCAGGACAGTGTTAATGATGTGTTTGAAAGTAGTTATGGGAAAGTCGGTGTAGTTACAAATAGTGGGCCAGCGTTTTTCAATTGAATCAAGTATTAAATCATGGGGAACACATGTGAAAAGGTTAATTACATCAAGGCTTAGAAAAATTTGATCGTCCGTAATGTTTCGGTCTTTGATTAGATCCACAAATTGGTAAGAGTTCTTTACATAGTGAGGAGAGGAAATTGTGACATTTTTTAAAATATTAGCAATGTGTTTAGCGATATTATAGAATGGGGAGCCAACGTAGGATACAATGGGTCTAAAGGAGCATTCAGGTTTGTGGACTTTGGGGAGACAATACATTTTTGGGGAAATAGGATGTTGTACTTTTAAATTATAGGCAAATTTGTCAGAAATGAATTTTTTATTTTTTAATTCATTAATTAATTTAATTGATTGTCTAGAAAACTGTTGTGTTGGATCATTTGTAATGATTTTGTAAGTAGTATCATCTTTTAGCATTCGTAATGTAGTGTTAGTATAAAATTCTTTGTCAAGAATTACCGTCATATTGCCTTTATCTGCTGGACAAACAATTATATTATTAGATTTAATGAATAATTTGGTCTCCGCTATATCTTTGTGTAGTCTTTTAAGATGAATATGTTGGAAACTATTATCAACTTTTTTTAAATGTTTAACTAGTTTTTCACATAGTTTTGACCTGATTCGATTTTGCTTGTCAGTCTCAATGTTCCTGATATTGTATTCTATGTTACTTAAATTTTTTATGAAGTCATTATTTCTGTATTTACTAGGTGCGTAATTGAATTTTGGACCGAGTGCTAAAATGTATTGGATATTTTCTGGAATGACTATATTGGTTTTATTTATTAGCCATTTGTCTATCGAAAATTTAGAAACATGAAATGGATAATTTTTATCTCGAATTTGTATAAGATTTTTCAATTTCTGTATTTGTTTATTTTTAATAATATGAAAGTGTTTATCGTATTTTTTATTTTCGAATTCTAAAAATTTATTAAAAGTATTTTCATCTATTGTTTCTCGGAGTGTATTTATTATCTGATCTATTCGTGTTTTTTTATTTTTTATGTCAATAAAAATGAAATATGTCAATAAAATAGAAAAGAAATGTTTTCAAAAATTAAATCCACCACCCCTCCTAAATTCAATACTAACATAGTTTATTCCATCCCTTGCAAAAATTGTCAAAAACAATACATTGGCCAAACATCACAGTACATTCATAAGAGAATGAGACAACACGAATTAAGCGTCACTCATCATAAAAGCCGAAATTTCCAAAGTACTCTTGTCCAGCATTCCATCGAAAACTCACATAATTTCACCTTTGAACCCAATATTTTATATAGAGAGGATTGTACTTTTAAAAGACTTTTTTCTGAAAGCAGTTTAATCTTTTTGAATTCGTCAAATAGTGTTAATAAAAGATGAGATCACAATATCATTCATGACTCATATTTAAATTTTTTAAACCTGATTAAAAATAATTAATCCTAATAATTTTTGAATATGTATATATATACATGTATATATGTTATAATATATGTACATCCATATATGTGCTTATATGTATGTTTTTGTGTGTACACTATACACATACACTTGCATATATGTTCATGTATATAATTGTGGATACATTAATATATAGATATGTGCATATGTATGTATGAGTATGTAGGTGTGCATATACATGTGCATGTATATATATATATATATATATACATAATATTTCTCAACATTTACTAAAGCAATATTTCCTCTTTTTTCGTAAATTACCAAACAAGAGCCATAAAAAATCATTTTTGCCAAGAATTCCGTGCATTGTCCTTTACATCTGGCAGACAGAAATCCATATCAGTGTGTTTAAGTCTTGTGTAGTCGTAACATCTACAAATATCTTCCAAAAAAAATCGAGTGTTTTTAACAAAAAAATATTAGTGATATGGATATATAAATTATTACAGTTAAATAATTTTTGCTTCTCAATTTTATATAAAACCTTTTTTAGTTAAGTCTTATTACTCTTTACCCCGGTACATAATCCATTCCTTTATACATTTTTTTTTCTAATTAATCTGTATTGACCATCGTTAATTAATGTTAATCAATATTTTAAAAAACATTGTATTTGACAGAATAAACCTGATGATGGAACGTACCTAGTTCCGAAACGTCGTATTAAACATCTTCAAAAAACAAATTGTTTTCTATTATTGGATTTACTGTTCGGAAAAGAAACAATCAATATATTGAAAAAATCCAGGACTTATCTATTGAATATATATATATATATATATATATATATATATATATATACTAGCTGACCCGACAGACAACAATAATTAGTCAGAAAAATACCTCGAATTTTCATATATATATATACTTTTATACGTATTCTTTCAGAGATATTATAATGAGAAATTGGATGTTTTTTTAATG